TATTCTGAGAGAGATGCGAACGCGAATGAGCAAAAGAATGTGTAGTTCTGCTGGTGGTCAGTTGTGCGGGCAGGGCTGCCAACTTGGCTCATAGCGTGCCATTTTTAACCCTATTTTACTTCTAATAGCACTTAATTTTTCAATTCGGCACAAAGGTCAAAATGGCACTTTTGAAAAATAAAAATATTTTAATACATTTTTGTGAAATCTGTTTCTTTTGCTTCTTTCTCTCAACTAAAATTTGATAATTTTTAAAGTGTTTACAACCGGTTTATCTTATTTTGGCATTGGACTTTTGTTTTAGGAATATTGTTCTAATTTTAATGCTAAATGGGAAGAATAAATTTTTTTGCACTTTTATTTTTCTATTTGGCACATTTTGGTACTTTTTTTTATCCTCGTTATGGTACTACATATGTAGGGGTAGTTGGCAGCCCTGTGTGCGGGCGTGCGTTTCCGTCGTGTCTCTTGACTATGTTCGCAGGTAAACAAAGACACGTAACTAAACTATAAGGTTGGCGCGATCTGTACATTCTGGCGCAAAGTGTTTTTTATGTTTGACTTGAAATTATGTTTCTTCGCTAATGAATGAAAATGCGAGAATAAGTTAGTGAACTATACCCAAAGCATTTGTACAAGCGGAAATATGTAGGTAGACACGTGTCTATAAGAACATTTCAACCACTCATTGAGGTACATATTTATTTACATCTATGTTTTGAATAGTGATATATATGTTCATACATACATATGTACGTATGTATGTGTATACTCGCATGACTTGCCCGATACCGTGGCGTATGCGCAACCCAAACTTATTTCTGAGTTCCCCAGCACAACAAACAGATAGGTACTAGCTACTAGTTTTTAATATTTTCATAAAAAAAAACACTCTCCACTATTTGATACTCTTTAATTTTACAATTTACTGCAGCGCCAATTTTATGAAGATCAGAAGTTTTCTACCGCCGTAAAGTCTTAAATTTATGCATCCTAAAATTTTTACACATACATACATAGGTGTGTACATTTCGCACACCTAGATCTAAAGTGCAATCAACTCAAAAAAAGTCAAAAAAATACTAAAAATTTTTTTTTTATTTTTTTGAATTGATCGCACTTTAGATCTAGGGTGTGCGATTTGTATGTATGTTTGTAGACATGAACGCATGAATAAAATTTGGCGTGCGCATCCTTTGTGAGAATTAAACACTACGTTAAGTGCTTGATCAACGGAAATCCTCTCTTTTTTTTTGGCGATCGCACACATTGATTGGTCACAATCAAGGTCACCTCGGATAATTTAAAACTCAGATAGTAACAGCCGATTTCCCAGTTGATAAATAACTATAAGTTAACAATTAATTAGTAAATCAACAGTTGACTGCCCAATGCTGGCGAATTAACTACGAGTTAATCATCTATTAAGTTCACTGAGAACGGTAAATAATCGTTTGATTATAACTAAATATCCACTGAGAGATCGGCTGTAATACTTACGCCTATTATTGTAATTAATAGACTGCGGAAGTTTATGCAGAAAACGGTAGCAAAATATATAAGTTTGTATATGTTTTGTTTACAGTTATGTGGTACATAGTTTTAGGCTTCGTTTTCTGCATAAAAATCCGCAGTCTAGTATTTAATTAAAATTGTTTTCATTGCAAAAGAAATTATTTATTGCCTTTTCCTAGTAGCCAAATCTCCCCGCCGTCAACTCGGATAATGCGGGACTGGGATTTTCGGTTCTCAGATAATCGAGACTCTACTTTATGTATATAAGCAAATCTGACGAGTTGTTACAAAACGTCTTTTTGGTCGAAAGTAGTGGTACACCTATCCCGGAAAATACATTACAGAAAATAATAATAATTTGTATAAAAAAAGAGAGATTCCATCGCGAAATTGTATTTAAATGAAAACTTAAAAAGCTATACATAATACTAAAAAAGTAAAAATAACCAATCACTCATCCTCATATACCCGTAGGTGCGTATGTAACGTATACGCCCCGTAGCACCTTACTCAGTTATCTTAAACGTTTACCCGCACGCCTTAATTTAAAAGTCATATTTTTTAACAGTAATTAATTATTGGCGTTTAATATTTTTACACAGTATTCCTTATGCTCATATACATACATACCTACATATATTACTTTCTTTATGTATGTACATATATAACAATTTTAGAATTAATTTCGATGGTGCCAATAAAAGTTGTGAAAATGGAAATTTAGTTTCTCAAATAATCGCTAGTTTTATTATACTAGATTCGTTCATTTTGGCAAGAAGAAAATTTTCACCTTTTATTTTAACATTTTGGGGTATTTAAAATTATTACAATTAAAAAAAATCCTAAAATTTCAAAAATTACAAAATATGTAGCTGCGACAGATATTTTAAATGCTGCCATTTTTTTCTAATTTCGTGATAAACTCTTGAAACAGATATGTTGTGTTTGATGACTACGTCTATTTATTGCCTCTAAGGTTAAGATTCCCAAATTTATTACAAAAAAACGATTATGATTTTTTTCGAGTGGCAATAAAAAAATGAGTAATTTCGGTGCTTTTTCGCCTAACTAAACATTTTAAGGCTAATGTTGTTCAAATACTTGATTTAGTTTTTACAACTCGGGAGAGTTGCTCATATAGCAGCTATAAATGATCAAAATTTACTACATACATATGTACATATACATATGTGTGTACATGTATGTAGGTTAAGCCTTGAGTCCTTTCATTCTTCGTCTTCTTTCCATTCGTTCTGTGCTGGAATTTTTGTGTAAAAACTGCTTTTTAGTATAAAACCTTCGCTCTTTATTCCCTATGCTTATGTGGATGTATGTTCTTGGCGTTGGCATTCCAGTCGCCCTCCCTGTCTATTTTTACCTCCAGTCCCAGCTTAAAATGTTTAACAAAAGTGGGTTGGATTTATCATTTGCGTTAAAAGACTGTACCATCCAGCCTTTTTGTAGTTGTGCTGGGTGTGTTCGTATATTCGGACATGGCAATATCCCTGCGGATATTGGCGTTCACGGGTAAAATCCGGATGTCCGGTTAATTTTTTACTTTATCCGAATATCCGGATATTCTAAAAAGGATTCGTAAAATTTTTCTAAAAATTGCTGAATATATTGAGTTGTAAAATAAGTAATACTTAAAACACTTCACTAATACACATGCAATTGTTATTTTGTTGCTTATTTTATATTCGAAAATCCGGATATTAATATCCAAATTTTTAGTCACATATTCGAATATCCGGATATCCGGTTATTCAAAAAACCGAGATAAATCTGTGTTATAAAAGCTACCAATTTTTAATTAACTTCATTTATTTTGAGCAAGTATGTTATACCGATTTTTTTAACTTTTTATTTTAAAAGTAGTTCAACAGTTTCCAGGTGTGTTTCGAACTGTTCAGCGAATTTTATTCTGCTTCTATTGTAACTGTTTAATGTCAGCAAAAACAATTGACAAATTAATAAATATACCGAAGCGAAATTTTTTTCAAAATTTTCTTTTTGATGCATCTTCTTCCTAGAGCATCTAGATGCATTTCTGCATCAAAACGAAAATTTTGAAAAAAATATCGCTTACGTTATTTTGACGGTTAGGGCTCAATATATGTACATACATATATTTTTTGGGGGTTATAACTAGTGTGACCATAAATATATTTTGAAAATGCAGGACAATTTTTCAAAAAATTTACCTACATATAATTGGGTAGTATAAAAATAACAAAAATATACTACATATATACATTCCTCGTCATTTGAATAGCGCACCCTTTTTTTGATTTTCTATCTTACCAAGTATGCTTGACAAAATTGTTATATGGAAGAAAATGCGCAGCACCGTCAACAAAAAAAAAAAGTCGCCCCTATGTTTATTTTTTTTTTAATTTTCAAAAATTTTTATAAAAAGTTAATGAATATTAAACAAACAAAAGGAAATAACGAAGAGTGTATATTTCTTAATTATTAATCCAATTTTAAACTTTAAACATAAATCACATTTGCTTCATTCGTATTAATCTTTTAGTAAATGAATGTTTACAAAATTATAATAAGGCATATTATATATTACTTTACACGAAATATGAACTTCTGTAAAGCAAATTTTTTAGGCAAACTTTGGGGCGTTGAACACTGAAAAAAATACCCATGGTTTGAAATAAGTGTTTTCGAGGTTTGTTCTTCAGTTATTCCTCAATATCTCATGAAACGACCAACAGTTCGAAAGGTATTGATGGGCTCTTTGCAAAAATATATATTTTTTGTGCAGATTGTGTTCCGTAACATCTACATTTCTCATCAGATTTTCATTTACTGTAAAAAGAAAATGATTGAAATTTCAATTTTTCGATTTTGGTCGCTTGTAAGACTAACAATTTTCATCGAAATCGACAAAGTAATATATTTTTTTTTTTTTTGTAGGTCGCTTATGTTGATTGGATAATTTTTTCTTGAGATATTGACGAATTGGTTCGAAATGTACCAAAAACACGTTTTTCGAAAAAATTACGAAAACGCTTGTTTGAAAGGAAAATTGGCTTGGAAAATATTTTTTTTCTTAAGCGCTTGCCACAAAATTTGTAGAACAGGTTTATCGATATATTTGATGTTGGTCTTCAATTTCTCGTCATCCATTGTCCATAACCGTACAATATTTAGAACGCATTGACTAGTTGAGCCTTCGAAACCAGCTTACCCTTATGTAGTTATCAATTAGTTATCGACACTGCTTTTATTTCGATTAGGAAAAGTTAATTTTATAATATCGAAGAAAATGCGGGACAAAGGCAGGACACTTGGAAAAAATCAGTACATTTTGGGGGTTTTCTGTTTTGAAAAACTACGCAGGACAGACCTTTAAATAACAGTACGGTCCTGCAAAAAACAGAACGGATGGTCACCGTAGTTATAACAAGCATATTTTAATGATTATATCACTAGTTGTTTGCGCTTTTTTGTCTTCCCCAATATAATAAGTAATTTTGCGGGAACAGATGAATGCAATTCAGATACATACCTACATGCATACAGCCGTATGCACATATGTACATACGTATATGTGTATAAACACATAGAGGTATGCATACATGATCTTCTTGAAAATTTATTTGTCATCAATCTGAGTATTGCGCGTTAATGAGGAAGCAAATGCAAACAAAGCTATGTTAAAGCTAAGCTACTACAATTCCATGCGAAATCTCTCTAAAGGTGACAATTGTCAACAAAATAAACTTACAAACTGTAGCAGACTACAACAACAACAACGGCACAAAGATGATGTTCACACGCGCCCAAGTGCGCAAACCAAAATCAAATGGTCACAGCAGCAGTCAGAGGCCGCAAGTGCGCACTTCCCATAGACCTCACCTTATGCAACAACAATCACTATATGGATGCGATGTAAAGTATTTTGAATCACCCCCAACATACATATGTACGTAACTGAAATTCACAACCTCTCTTTGCTATTCAAGCAGCCACTGTACAGACATTCACCCCCTGGAGGAAATAGTCGCATTCGGGATCGCGATAGAGACAGGGATCGGGACAGAGATAGGGATACGGACCGTGACCGAGACCGACACAATGAACGCGACCGGGACTACAGTGGCGCTTACTACACCGATCGCAGCAACTTCGGTGGTCACAAGCCCCATTCGTACGAACTGCCTCGACAACACTCCAAAGACAAAGCCTACGCCCAGCTGTACGATGACGAGAGCGAGCGGAGCACCAGCAGCAGTGGCGTCGATTATATAGACCGGCGCACCCGACCGCGCAGCATTACAAACCGACGCGGCGCCATCAAACAGCTGAAGTAAGTTTTGCCCCGAAATATTTAATATAATTATTTTTTTTTTTTAATAGCTTCATTTTATTTAAAGTGGTATTTACTTTTGCTGTTTCTTATATATTTTTTTTTGCTCATTAGAACACACGACTACAATGGGCATCGGTTTGTGGCCAAATTCTTCCGACAGCCCACATTTTGCGCATTCTGCAACCTGTTCGTCTGGGGATTCGGCAAGAAGGGGTACCAGTGCATTAGTAAGTCAATTATTTATGTTTAAAATCGGTTTAGTCATCTGAAAAACAAACATCATTCCACTTTTTACAGCTTGTCAGACGGCGGTGCACAAGAAATGCCACGAGAAGTTGCTGAGCAAATGTTCGGGTTCCGTCTTCAACTCGGCCAGCACAATCGTAAGTGTCCTCCAAATATTATTAGACTGTAACGGTAAACGTAAAATCAATCTCAATCTTTTAGCTGCTGCACGAGCGTTTCAAGATCGACATGCCACACCGCTTCAAGCCGTACACTTTCATGTCGCCGACTTTCTGTGACCATTGCGGTTCTCTGATGGCTGGCTTCTTCATTCAGGGGTTGAAATGCGAAGGTGAGTCGTTGCATGGTTGAAAAAATACATACACATGTACATGATTTCATAGCACACACACACACATCAAACTATAGCCGCAAGCGATTCGTCACTTTTTTGCATGTAAAAGCAACAATAATGTTAGCTAGCAAGGATGAACGATCTGTCCACCTATCTCGGCTAACTGTTGGCGAATCGATGACGGAAACGAACCTTTGGCACACGCAAAAAAGATTTCGCAAAAATCATTGGTAAGCCTAGCTAGCCTAGCTACCTCAGACTTGCACATTATTTACTAAAATTGAATGAGCTACGTACCTACTTCAGTTTTTTCTATTGAATAATTCAAATGTCAAAACCGGTATTTTGAAAATTTTAGTACAAATTTTGTGTTATTTTACGCATATCGGTAAGGGCGACACCTATTCTTTTAGTAAATTGAGCACATGTCGGTGCGACATCTGCCGATGGATAGCAGATATTTCATATCTTAACTACATTATCCAACACATTGCACGTTGGTTGGTTCATGTCTATTCTAGTATTAGAACTAGAGATGGGCACGGAACTAAATATATAGTCCAGATCCCGCCCATCCCGAAATTCAATTTTTCAGTCCCGAACCCGCCCATCACGACGTTTTCTAGAATTGTACCGTGGGTCCCGAAATCTATCACTAAGAAAAATTCACATGCCCTTTTAATTAATTTTAAATAACAAAAAAAATAATGAAAGATCTGGCATCTTCCGATTATTTTGTGTTGTTTTGCTGTTCGTTTTCGTCCCAATAAAACATAAAAAAAGTGCATAATTCACACATCGTTTTTAAGGAAGATCTTCCGAATTTGCTGAGGTTGCGGTTTTATCGGAAGTGCCGGGAACGGATTTTGGTCCCGTCCCGCCCGCAACCTTTCACAGACCTTTCCGATACCGCAAACCCCTCGAATCCTTCTTGAACATTACGTTGTCTCAGTAAATATATTTTTGAAGTGGCTTCAGCATCAAATAACTTTTTATCTTAAGTTTAATAAGCCTAGAATGCACTAGTTTTCACTACTGTAACATGAAATATGTTTTTTGTTTATATTAAAGTGTATTAACCTCAACAAATGGTTTCAACAAGATTTTTTATCTACTAACTGTACTTTACTACATGAACGACCATTTTTAAAACGGAATTTTTTTGTCTAAAGATATCGCACTAAATTTGAATGGGTGTAAATGCTGCTTCGGTGATATGCATATGTATATGTATCAGCATATATGCATATCTCGCCAGCCAGGCTGTTTATAAAATTATAGACGAACATATTTTGGTTTTCCCATAAGGTTAACATTACAACCCAAATATTTAAAACGTTTTTTTTTCTCGAAATCAGGTTTTTCGACTTAGGCGGATATTTGTTATGGCCACAGGTATTATGTGCATATCCTCATTTAAAGTACAAAACCGCAAACAAAAAACAAAATGTAAAACCGCGTATCGAAAGAATCCAAAACCGCGTAGGTACATATATTATTTTTTAGAGAGTAAAAACACTCATATTTCCAAATGGTTCCATTCAGGACGAATGGATAAGAATTGAGCCAAGAGTTTGTGTGAGCAAATCCAATATTAGATATGTACATATGGCCATATTTTCAATGAAAAAACAAAACAAACCACATTTCTCTTCATATATTTATACTGTCGCACAGGCACCATTGACAGATCGTAGAATCAAAAATAATCCATCAACGCAAAAAAGTTATTTATTACCTCTATTTAAATAGCTCGCTCGTGCATACATATACATATGTATACATGTTTGTAGATACATATACATATCTACGTGCACATGCATACATACACCCATATGTATGTATTAGGAATGTTAATCCCGGGACCCCGGCCTTTTTAAGGTGCCAAAAATCCACGGATTCTTTGCAATATTTGTTTTTAAAAAAACTATATGTAATGTGTATCTACCTTCATGTTAAAAAGAATCACACTTTTATTTTTTATAAACTACATTTGATTTATATACCAAACTATTATTAAAAACAAGTACTCTGACGTTTTAAAATATTTTCTCTTACTTACATTCATAATTTTGCTTTGAGTAAAAGTGTACTGAAAAGTACTGATTTTCATGGCACAAAAAAGTCTAAGTGATTTCGCGCAAAAAAAATCTGGCAACGCTATATTTAGCGTAGATCACTATTCTCAGTAAGCAAACAAATACTGTCATCGCAGTAGCGATAGCCATTGATTGCGAGCAAGCCAATAAAGCGCCATATCCCATAATTATTCATTAAACTGAATGATCTAAATACCATTTCGGAGGACGAAAGCCTCCTTTGACGAAAGCTGACTATATTTCTATGGCGATGGCCGCGAAATAGGCAAGGGTGGTTTACCTCTGCATTTGATGCAACTACTTTTGGACATAAAATATCAATAGGAAAAACAAAAAAATTTTTTTATTTTATTGTTTATTATATTTATATTATTATTATTTTATATGTTTATTTACTTTATTTATTTTATAACATTTCACATTGGTTTCTATATTCTGCTGTAGGTGGTCCCATATTAGAACTCCGTCAGACATAACTTCAAAATGATAATATGAAATTTCGATCTTCCTTTTATTTGTACTCAATTCGAAAAAGTATTTGCGAAGTGCAGGATATTTAAATAGAAACGCGTTTAAAGAAAAAAATCTCGAGCTTTACTCCTGCATTACTTGTCAACTAGTTTCAAATTAGCTTTTTGTAGCTAACTACAGTATATTTTGCTTTGCTGCCTTTAAGCTTAGGTGCACATTTAAGATGCCTACCCCAAAATGCGCATCTGAGACATTATTTTTAACATTTATAAGGAAACTTCTCCGATATATGCATTCAACATACCTGCACATTGGCGATACCTGCCTTAAAAATTGTGCAACTATTATTAACTATCAAAGAAAGTGTTAGGTTTACTTGCACTGGCCCTACAATTACCTAATTTTACCAGCTGTTATTTATTTTGCTCATCTCGCAGAACAAAGAAAATGGCTATAAATTAATTATATATATTATATAGATAATTAGATACCATTCGGTAAAAATTCGCTTGCAGTAATTTCTACGTGGTAAGTGCTCCTCCATTAATTGGTTTCATAGGGATTCGGATACCTTCCTGATTGAAGTAGTAAAGAAAATTCGCTTAAGTGCTTTTTTCGGTTAAGTGCACAAGTTTTTCGTGCAAAGAAGGATGGGCAGCTAAGCAAAATATACTGTACTAGGTATATATATATTTTATAGAAATCTCGCAAAAAAGCTAACTACAAGTGGGTCATTTTTTATCAGTTGAAAATTTTTTTTTCTGCAGGGCTTGCATACACAGCTATTTACACAATTGTATACTCTGAACTTGAGCAATTCTTGCGGCTGCTTGAAATTTTAGGTAGCTACAGAACTGATATTTGTTGAAAATATTTTTACGATTATTTTACCATTAATCGATCAATGAAACACAAAACTCCGGTACAATTAAATCGTAAATTGGACAAAAATAATCGATTTGTTGTAATCAAATGATTAATCGCTGCCATCCCTAAGTACAACCATGAGTATTTAAGCATGTAAATACATACAGATGTATGTATGTACATATGTACTCGTAGGTAATATTCGTTCGTTCTTTTGATGTATTTGGATGTATTATCGCAAAAAACATGACCCATTTCACTGACTAAGGTGCATAAGTTGTTACTCATACTTATATGATACAAATGTATATTTTTCAGGATTATTATTTACATGCGTACATATGTATGTGATAGGTGAAATAAATGAGACGAGATTTATTTTAAGCGTTTTAATGTTTTCGGATGTTTATATAATATTAAAAGGTTCATGGACTTGGTCACGCCGATTTGGTCAGTTTTCAAGATCGTGGTGAATGAAGTCAAACATGTATGGTTTCATTATGTCACCGAAGAAGCACATTTTTCGCGTTTTCTAAATTTGTCATTATGTGAAAGTAGGGGACGTGCAATAAGTGTTTAGATATACATAAATATTTTAATTAATTCCATTATGTGAAAAAGTGACTGTAGGTAAATGCAATAGTCTTTAACATACCCTGGGATATCCTTTTGAGGACTCTCCAATTGGACGATATTGCTTTGCATTCAGCTTGAACGAAATCTTACACTTTTGTGTAATCCGGTTGTTTCATATAAAGGTTATTTATACAACTGAAGAGAAATTTGTTTAGGAAAAAACTGGAGATCCTCTTAATTTTTTCGATATAAATTTGATAAATGTTACTCCATTGAAGGCGAGACTTACGGTTACAGATTTATGATAATAATATGATGAAAATCGTTCAGATTATAAACGAATTGTTTAAAAATAAAAAAATGTTGAACAGAATTTTTTGGTAATTTTCCTATATTTGCAATTTTTATATTGTATGCATAAACATAAGTAAAGTTATTAGTGTTTCTAGAAGTTGTGCCTGTTCAGTGTTTCCATACTCATTTGCATAAACAAATTTTTTCCGCGATGATGGAAAATAATGACATTTTTATATTAGAGCTACCTAAATTGTTCCTAAATTTACAAAAAATTCGCAAATTATAGCTAATATTTATTTAAAAAATATTAGAATATTTGGAACCAGCGACCTAAAGGCACGCCAGCAATATTAATGCTGTTCTTTACATCTTTTGACTATAGGCCAGTGCAATTATCAAGAGAACAATTAAAATTTTATTTGAAAGCAGATAACTTTGAGTTTAACGATTAGCTAAAGGGCTGCGAAAAATGTTATTTGACTTTATCTTTGGCGTTAACGGCCATAGGCCAGTGCAATTATCAAGAGAACAATTAAAATTTTCTTGAAAACATATAACTTTGAGTTTAACGATTAGCTAAAGGGCTGCGAAAAATGTTATTTGACTTTATCTTTGGCATTAACGGACTAATTATCTAATAATATGCACCAACCCTTTTTACTGAACCCAGAATTTTTAACAAGAATT